CATGTAGCTTTGTATACAGTTGAAAAACCACCTTCACCTATCTTTTTAATGTCTTTTAATTTGTCATAAGGAATCCATTCAAGATAATCAGCATTATTATATCTTGTTGCTTTAAGTTGTGTACTTTTTATTAATTTATCAATGGTTTTGTTGCCACTGCTCCATCCTTGAGTTAATAATTGTGGATCACAATATTGACACCATGAATAATCAGTGTTATATCTATAACAAGTTGAACATTTACCATATTCAGATAATAATACTTCTATTTCCAGAAATGATAGATCCATTTGATTAGAGTCTATAAAAATAATTATTATAGGCATATTTATATAGTCAATTTTAATGTTGATATTGAACTTAAAATTAATCAATAATTAATAACTAATTAACAATAATCACCATTATTGTTTCCAATGATTGTAACTTTGTTGGAGTTTACAGGCTGAGGAAGTTTTGTAAAATTTAATCTTCTGCTAGTGTAAGTAGCATTTGGATGAATAGTTGCTGTGATTGTTGAAGGATCATATTCAATACAATCCATTTCTTCAAATATTTTTTTAGTTGATATTGCTTCATGAAAATAATAATCAATAAATTTTTTAATTTTATCAACAGTTGGACGTTTATTTGGATCAGCATCCATACATTTGTAGGCTAATTCAATATAAAGTTTTGGTGTGTTTATTGAGAAGCCAGGTCTTACTCCTTTACATATTTTGAATGCAAGATCTCTATCATGTGAAACATCACTAAAAGGTTGTTGACCTGTTGAGATCACTGACATCAATATTCCAAAACTATATATGTCTGATTCAAATGTATAGGGTTTACCATTTAATATCTCTGGTGCTAAGTATGGTAATACTCCAAATATATTATTTTTATTTGATTTTAAAGTTTGATTAGCTGGAATTGATAATCCTAAGTCTGCAATAAATGAAGAACTACCATCTTGAAGAATATTACCAATGTGAAGGTCATGATGAATGAATTTTTGCTCATGAATCTTTTTTAAACCTTCAATGATATCATTAAGAATTTTAATTTTTTCCTTCCATTTTAAAATTTTAAATTCTTTTGTTAAATAATTTAGAAGATTTCCTTCTTCCATATATCTCATTACAAATATGTAATCTTTTGTGACTGGATCTTGTGTTAATCCATAAATCCTAATTATCAAATCAGCAAATTGATGATCAAATTGAACATAATTTTTGAGCTAATAAAAATATTTAATTTAACAATTATAGTTAAATATTTATATTTTAATAAAAAAATAAATAAATGTAATATTTTACCTCATTTAAAAATTTATCAGAGATATTTTGTGAATTATGCAATTTTTTTAATACAACAATCATATCTTCACAACACCTTTCATTACTATTATGATTTACACATTTTTTACCATTTATCCATGTAGCTTGGTATACAGTTGCAAAACCACCCTCACCTATCTTTTCAATATCTTTTAATTTGCCATAAGAAATCCGTTCAAGATGTGTACTTTTTATTAATTCATCGATGGTTGTGTTACCACGGATCCATTTGTTTAGAATTTTTTTTGTTACATATAAAATTTTTGCCATGGAAATTCTAAATAATAATAAATTTGAATTGTGAAAATATCCCATGAAATTGTTTGTCAATGAAATTTATTGTTACACGAATGGAAAATATCACCTGGAAATAGTTTGACTCAACAAAAGAAATATAATTAATAATAGTGGTACATGCAATGATAATGGTAAAAAGCATTTTTAACCATTAAATTAGTAGCAACTAACACTATTATAAGAAACATCATGTCTCTTAAAATTGCTTGATATTCAATTGGCTGTTAGTATAAAAGATCAAACAATTAATATTAAACCAGTTTTTGAATTTCAACCATTTAAAGACTGGACTACTGCTTTATCTAAAGAAATTCTTGCAACAGAAAAACGAGAATTAAAAGTTAATATAATTAAATTCAAAATGTTGATTATTTGAAAAAAATATAGATTTTGTTAAATTCAAGGCCAATACCAATGAAAATAATGGTAAATACTGACAACAATCTTATACAAGAGACAGGTATATTTCTATTAGCAACTCATGAAGGAAGTTATGATCTTGGTGAAAATACGTAATATTCATGCAAAATAATTCTAATAAATTAAATTTGAGGGGTGTAATATGTATGGATGAAAGAATTAGAAAATTAGCATTTAAAGATTAATAGATTGATTAGATCTTCTCAGTAAAGAAACTAGTTCACCATGGAAATTAACAATTGATGATAATTTTTCATTTTGGGTTGCTGCTTCTAATGTTATGTTATTAAAAGATCAGTATTTCTCAAAGTGAGTAATATTTATTATATTGGTTAAATTTAAATTTTACAAAATGTGAAGATTAGGTTGAAGTTTAATAAATTCTTTAAATTCTTGACATTGTTAATTAACCCATTTATTGTTCAAATGATTTAAGTTTACAACACTTTGAGGGGACCTATTTATTTTTGATATTTTATTTAGTGTAAATATGTATATACTGTATATTAATATACATTTGATAATTTCTTGTATATATTATTTGTATCAGGATCAATGTTTCTAACAATAAAAAAATATTTTTATTATACAAAGCAATCTAGTAAAATAGATTGTACTTCCTTCATTGATTACCAGAATCTCATAATCAAAATGAAATTAATTTATTTATTTGGGTGGAGCTTGCTGGAATATTTTCCATGATCCTTATCATTTGAATTTTTATATTGCTCGAAAACAAAAAAGCCTTTATAAAGTAATAATAACGAAAGGAATAGCTTATCAAGAAAGTCAAGTATCGCCACCACAAATATATCAAAATACGCATACACCAGAGCATTGAATTATGAGTAAACACCTCAAATGCAAATAGATTCTCTATCAAGAGAATGGAAATTTGTGCTATTTGATTGTTTTACTGACAAGAGATTATGTGAACAAATGTATTTTTAATTAAAAATTATTATTAGTTTTAAACGGTTTTTATTCTTGTTTCTAGTGTTTGTATTCATTCGGAATTGTTCGGATATTGTCCGAATATCATGAATATCATGAATATCATAGTTGATCTTGCTAAAAAAGGAAATTATATATACATAATAAATTGGATAA